CAGACAGCTGTGCTCATTAAATAAATCACCATGACAACAGATAGTGGCGGGAAACTAGGGCTGAATCTGAAATCGCCCCTAAACCCGCAATCACTAGTTCCTATGTTAGTCCACCAATACAGTTCACTTGAAGGAGTGAATGAAAACGAGTGAGTGAATTCGGACAGCCATTGAGCGTACATCGGCCGTACACTCGTTATTGCGGTGCATTGTGGGATTGAATGAGTGCACTCGATAACGTCCACTATGCTTTCGGACACCGCTACAAATTTGAGGGTATAGGGGGCAGTTTCGGATTCAGCCTAGAACAAAGGAAACTAAAGATGAACTAACTATGAAACCAACTAAACATAAAGCGTTTGTGGTCCGACAACCAGCAGTGTAGCCGAAAGGTCTGTAGATCCTGGTAGAGCCAAAAACTGAAGGGGCCGGGTGACAACAAAGGCCCTGGAGGGCAGTGCGGAGACGTAACCTCAAAAGTCTGCGGCACAGGCAGGGCAATTTCCAGCCAAGCTGGAGCCAGTGGGACGAGAAGGCATGGTGGTGCCGATGGGACGGTGGTCCCGGGTGGAGCCGAGGGAGCCAAGGCGGAGTTGGAGCTAAGACCCTGGAGGTCTGAGGTGGAACACAAGAGTCGACAGACCTTGGCTGAGCTGGCGAACTAGAAGTCCACGGTGGATACTAACAGGTAAGAGCCAATAGCCGAGAGACTGAAGGGCACCATCGTAGGCAGGGTCGAGGGACCGACTAGTCTGGGCAGAGGAGGTGGGAAACAGAGGCAAGTTGGGTGTATTCTTAACGGCATAGCAGTCTCTGAGCTGGGTTTGGCCAGCGGACTGGGTGGAATTGACAGAGGGAGGCTGTCATCCTCATCCAGCTCTTCTCTATTTCCCACCGGCTCATAGGTAGAAGTCGGCACACACACCTGATCAGACTGAGCGACTACTTTCAGCTCCGGGACAGACGTGGCCTCATGCTCGGGCTCCGTTGTGGGCATTGGCGTTGGCTCAGGGTCCGTGACGGGCATCAGCGCGTTCTCCAGCTCTGCGGTGGGATCGGGCTCTGGCTCTGCATTGGCCGTTAACGCTGGCATCAGCTGAGCACTGCAGACATCGGAGGATCGCCTCTCTCCACGTTCCTTCACTCATGTCAGGTTGGTCGGGGGGGGGGGATTATAATTGGCTCCAGTCCAATTCAGAGACTTTAGTGTCTCATCGTTAACGTCCGTTTTCACAGCCAGTTGACAGAATCGGGCAGTGTACTCCAAGATAGAGAGATTGATAAACTGGGGCTGCGATATCCATTTTCTTCTCTTTTGGGTCCAGTATTCTGTCACAATTAGTTCCAAGGAAGATGAAGGATTAAGTAGCAACAGTCATCAATAAAGTAAAGCGAACTACTTAAACATAACTGTTACACTAGTAACCTGCAGTGTAGCTAACTACTTTTTCAAAACAGTCGCTTGACTGTCATTGAACTACTTTTTATCATGAGTAGCTTGACAAGCTACATTTTCAAAGTAGCTTCCTGACATTGGTCCATGACAGTGTGATTGGCAAGATAGGACATTAGATCTCGCTTTGACCCAAGAGAATGTGTGAAACATAAAAAATCATAGTCCTTCACTCTGAAATAAATCGGAGAGAGGTGTCACTGTCCACCATTATCTTAGATCCAACCAACTGATTGATGCAGCGTGTTTTCAGCCTTGTCATCAGCTGCTTTAATTGAAGTCCAGCATTATTTACAGCCCGACTGACCCGGCAATCTGTGCAGTGTGTGTGAAAGCCGTTTTGAACTGCGACACATGAATATTGCATACAAGTCGGCGTTATACGATTTACAGTTTCCTTTGTTCTGATGGTGGCATCAACAACAACTGGGTTGTATTTCATCATCATAGATAAAATATTTGCAGATCTAACGAACCGTTTGATGGACTGCATTGATGCATGTGACAAAGTTTGTGTATGGGAGAGATTTTTTTTTTTTAGAAGCAATACATCAAATCACCAGAGCATCATATAAGGCAAACGCACTACGAATGAGCCGCGTTTTCTGATAGCATGGTTATAGCACTTGGGTCTTTGATTTATATTAGAAATTATATTTATATTAGAAAATTGTTATATGGATATTATTGAGCTCCAAACCTAAAGGAGTTATGCAAACATTTAACAGTACTCTACTGGTAGGCAGACAAAAGTATAAACATTATACTTTTTTTATATATATGGGTCTATGTACAGTAATATATTGCAAGGGGATCATCAAATTTGGGGTCTGTGGAATCAAAAATTAATTAAATAAATATACAATTATGAATTAATGTAGTTTTTTTTTGTTTTTTTTTAGCAAGAGGATCATCAAATTTGGGGTCTGGAATCCAAAAATAAAATATATATATAAATATGATGTCATATTTTTGGCCATATTTTTGGGTGGAATTATTCAAACATAACAGTATTATAGTAATAGAAAAGGAAAAAAATATAGATTTTTGTTTGAAATTTTTATTTATTTATATAGGATTATAGGGTTGTGAGAATATTTTTATTTTTGTATAAATGGGTCTTTATACATGAAAATATTATATTTATATTTTAGGAACAGGGCCCCTTGCAAGAGGATTGTCATATTGAGGGTTTGTGACATCAAAAAGTTAGGATTTATGAGAGGATTTATGAATAGAAGAGTGGATTTATGAATGGTAATGCAACTGGCATTGGTAAGTCACTTGACATGGCGGTTGTAGTATGTCCAAATTTCATACTTTTTTAACGATCCCGGAGTAAATTCAAATGTAGCACCTACTCAGACAGTATGTGATTTCAGACGCACCCCCGGTCTTTGATCTTAGCGCGTGGATGGGATTATCCCAGAATGCTCCAGGTGGATTTTCAGATAAAAGCATCTGCCAAGTAACCACAAATTTTAATATACCATCATTGAATTTCAGTAATCTGGTCAGTCTTGGTAAAAAAAATGGGTACTGTCCCCGGTGGCGTGTTTGGGAGTGCTATTACTTTTTTGAAAGGGATTTTGTGTCATATCTCCAATAACAGTCCTTTGCTGGAATTGCAGATTGCCCTTTTGAAGAATTGAATTGAGTCAGTAAGAAGAATGTTTTTTTTTATTCCCTTTTTTTCCCCCTTTCTTCTTGAGAAAACACTGGAGGACCACTTCTGCAAGACTTCAAGAGATTCTTGATTACACTATTAATTTTCATTATTTTGGGACCAGAAAACCTTGAGCCTTCATTAAATGGACACACTAAGGTGAATCTGAGTTTTGCTGATTTAAATTAAATTAAATTAAATTAAATAAACTTTTAAAAACAAATTTTTACAGTCACTTTTTGTATGGTAGTTTTTACTTTAGAAAAAATGTCAAATGAAATGTGACCTGGAGATTCACCTGTATACAATTGAAACAGACAAAATCAGAGTAGCATAATATTTATGTGTTTGTTTGTTTGTTTGCTTGAGTTTGAAGAACTTTATATCTATTCAACTCTATACTTGAGCCCACCACTGTTTTGAGATCAGGCCCAAAACTTGATTTTGCACTATCTTGGGAGATATGAGTGGAAGGATAGAGAGAGAGGAAGACTGACAGTGTGGAAATGTATTGAGGATCTATTCTTCTCTCCACTCCCTCTTAGTTAAACCCTGAGAAAAGCTTTGATTTCCCCTGAGAGAAGAGACAGAAGAACACACACACACATCCTTTGGTCCAAGTTTATGTCCTCCGTGCAAGATGTGGTCCGCTGCCCTTTACGACAGTATTGACAGTGACTATGTGAAGTGAATGATCGCATAACGGGCTGGACCGTGGAAGTAACACAAAATGTCTTTAAAATATTACATGTATTTTCTGTTTGCACATGGATGACTTTTATTTTAAAATATAATAAATAGGCCTGTTCACACCAAGAACGCTAACTATAAAGGTTACTGTCTATAATATCAGCATCCACACCAGGACGAAATCATTCTGTGTATTCTAAGCACGCGCTTCAGTTTTGTCGTCTGCCGCTTTAAATGCTCGTGCTCTTTAAAGCAGGATGGATTCTGATTGGCTCTCAGTGTCAGCTATTCTTTTATACTCAAAATCATTTTTAGAACTATGTCTTTATCGTTATATGTACCATCCTTGGTTTGAACGGACTTTAGTCCACCCTGTTGTCGAACATACTAGACGATTAGGGTGTAAATATAAAATCTAAATAGTTTTAAATGTGTGATGTGAAACTCTAGGTCATTGGCTTACCTTGAATTATAAATTAATTGTACATATTTTAAATTGAATTACTTTCCTATTACTTTGTCCATGCAGACAATCACATGGGATTGTTTCAGTATAGGTTTTTCAGATGTAGCCTATTCCAAGTATTAGTGTCAGTCTGCAAACACTGAAAATGCATACATGAATGGATTAATGATAATAATAATAAATGAATTCATGCTTTTTTTTTTCTCAGGGACAAAAATATGCATGCATTAAAATGAACCAATGACTTCTTAGTGAAGTGGCATAATGGTTAAACATCTGGACCGAAAGCCAAAAAGGTTTGAAGCACACACTTTGAGCAGGGCACTTGGATAAAAGCATCTGCCAAATTATTATTTTGTCATTCGTCAAACTTTGAGGCGTTTTGAGTGTACATTTTTAGACATGACCAGCAGATGGAGCTCATGTAAAGTATCTTTCTCCACGTCTAATATTCATTACTGCTAACTAACATGTTTTCCTATATAATTAATCATACAAGTATTTTCATATCAAGAGAGAAATATATGGAAAATAAATATGCAAAATAACTTGAAATTGGCTTTATGCAATTTATTACAAAACAGTACAAAACTACACTGTAAAATATTTTGTTAGGGAGCCTAAAAATATACTTCATGTTTTAAAAAACGTTAAAAAAAAATAAAAAAAGATGTAGGCCTACCTAATATGACGTAACAACATTAAAGGGTCTGATCAGACAGAAATAGTTCCTTAGTAACAACTGCACATTTTAATATTAAACATTGTACAATAATATAAATAAGCTCATCATGATAAAACCATTTAAATATAGTTTAAATACTGCTTGGAGTAATGTTACATTCAGTGTTTCAGTCAAGTGAATTCTATAACAAAACCGCTTTTGTCGACAACATCTGCGTCTGCGGTTACTGGCAGCCGGCTGTTTTCTGCTCTTCTGTGATTTCCCATTAACTGCATGAGGTCAGCTCTCAAATCCCAGGATTGGGCAGTGCCGGGTCATGTGACCGGATGGAATTCCACTTGCAGGGTCTCTGGAGTTTCCAAATCCCCCGTTCTGTTCTCCCTTGCTCTTCCGTACTTTCATTTCTGGCTTTATGCTTTTTGTGTCATTGGGCAATTCGACATCTTAAAAGTGTCTGTGTTATTGGTGTTCTCTCTGTTGCAAAAATCACAAACAAAAAAAAGTCACATTAATCTAATGCATAATATATGAAATGTACTATATGTGAAGATTACCTTGAGAATTGTCTTAGAGCATTGACATTAACTTTGGTATAATCTCTAGTTATTCTTAAGTATACCGTCATGTTTAGTGTATATATGATAACACTTTACAAGTTCACTTTACAAGTACCTAATTTCATTAGGTAACATTAGTTAATGAACATGAACTAAGAACAATCCATCTACATGCTATGTAGATGAAATGAAATGTTAATTAAAATCAAAAGTTGTATTTGTTAACATTAATGCACTCTGAACAAACAATGAACAGCTGTATTTTTATTAACTAATGGTAACAAATGAGACCTTATTGCAAAGTGTTACAGAGTATATTTGGTGCCATTAGATTAGTGTGGCAAATATTGTCTGGTATTATTCTACTACCGATTAAAAACAAAGTGACGTAATAAAAATGTCGGTACCTCTTCCAGCAAGACTGCAGGTTCTTTCCTTGCAATGTGTTTGGATCCAAGCAGCGCTCGATGACTTTACTTGAATTATTCGCTTGTTTTAGTTTCAGTCTGCAAACATTGAAAACACATCAAATTAATATGATTCAGTCTATGATATTGTCAACAAAGTTAATATGTGTATCCCTATGTCTACTTAGCAACTGTGTGAAATGCAAGGTAATTTATGGCATTCTATTTAATCTGATTGGAGCTTTAAAAACACTGTCTTAATTATGCATTAAGCCAAATACATTGCATATACATACACTGCATATAATATGTTTAATATCACATGCATATATTATGTTTTGTCACAGATTGACACTTACATGATTTCTACTTTGTCGCAGTATGGCCTAATGGGTAAAATGGAGAACTCTTCAATAGTGTCCTTTCGGAGACCTTTCTTCAAACTTTCCACACACCAGCATCTGTCCCGTACGTCAGCTAGAACTGTTGGGGAATGACATTGAAAGATTAACTCAAAATGGATGATTCTGATTCTGCACAACAACAAAAAAACACTCTGGCTGATGTTTAAAACAAAGCAAACACATTAAACCGTTATTGTCTTACCTCCACTCAGCTGAATACACACTACCGCGAGGAGCAGCAGAGGAAGGACTTTGGGTAAAAATGCCATAACTTGTTTGCTAGTGGAAAAAAATCAATAAGAAATGCAAAGATCAACTCCAATGGTTTGATGAGCTTTCAAAGAAAGTAGCAAGTGCTGCTGGAGCTGAAGTGAAAGTGTGAGGAGTGAAGCCTCTCCTCTGGGTTTTATAGGCCATTGAGAGGGAATCCCACTCCCACATCATTTCCCAGCAGTCGTGCAGTTTGGAATTTCCAAAGTACTGCCTGTTGGAGCAAGGAGTGAGAGAAAGTGATAGAAAGAAGAGGGAGGGAGGGGGGAATTGAGTGAAAACACAGTTCCAAATAAATTTAGGAAAGAAATAAAATGACGACTTTTTGACTTGCAAAGTTGGACAAAATTATTGATTATATATTTACAGAATGTATATATATACTTCTTAATGCTGCATGATTTATTTTGTTAGTCATATGTTACCTGAATACATTTGGTCACGCCAATGAAAGTTTTTTTAAAAAAGCAATGATTCAACATCCATAGCGGATAACATAATGACGCATATCAGTGTCAGCGCATCCAAACACATGTGAACACTGCTGCTATCTGACATGTTGAGGCCGATACCTCATAATCATGATGTCTGACAGAAGCCATATGCCTTTGGGATTTTTGGGAGATTTTGGGGTCATTTCCCTCAATTACATTAAATGCAAACTGCACATACCATATGGGAATACATTTAGTCCAGAACTTTATCTCACTCTATATATGTCAGATGCTCACCTTTTAGGTTCAATATATGATCCATCATATCTCTAAGAAATGCTGGGTTGTTTTAACCCAATTTGGGGTCAAATATGGACAAACCCAGCCATTGGGTTACATTTTTAAGTTACATTTTTAACCCAATGTTTGAGTTTGTCCATATTTGACCCAAATTTGTGTTAAAACAACCCAGCATTTTATGGATTTAGTTTTAATCAGGGTTGGAGGTAACGCATTACAAGTAACGTGAGTTGTGTAATCAGATTACTTTTTTCAAGTAACTAGTAGTAATTAACTCATATCTGAGTTACTTTTTCAATTAAGTAATGCAAGTTACTTTGTTTTCCCATGACTTGAGTGACAGCTCTCCTGTCCTCGTGTTGAGAGAAATCGTGAGTAAGTGCAGAGGTGTTGTGTGAGTACATTTACATTTACTTGAGTACAGTACTTAAGTACAATTTTGAGGGATCTGTACTTTACTCGAGTATCATTTTTGGGGAGTACTCATGACTTTACTCAAGTACATTTGAGAGGCAAATATTGTACTCTTTACTCCGCTACATTTCTATCCATAACCGTGAGTACCCGTTACTACTTCTAAAAAAAAAAGAAAAGGGGAAAAAAGAAAATCTCGGAAACCCTCAATTTGTTGTTTCCCTCTCAGACGTGATTGGATTGTGCAGGCGCCACTGATTGGGACAGCCTATCAGCAATCACCTTCAGCTTTCCGCCAAAGTCAACTCCATGGTCAGATTTAGATAAGAGACGAAACAATGGATGAGGACGCAGCAGGTCCATCCCGGGAATGTGCCAACCCGTGGCCCCACCTCGCCAGACTATTTTAATTTTCTGAACAAGTTAATGATAGTTTTCGCTTCAAGTGTTTGCTGTGTTTACCAAAACAGAACTTCATCATCGCCTACAAATTCATCCTCCAACTTGCGGATTAAAGCAACATGGTAAAAAGATGGAAATTACTTGATTTTACTTTCAATTCCTTTTACATTCTCCAAGCCGGTATTAACATTTTTCATAACTCCATGTGGGACGTTTCTGTACATAAATGTATGCACTGGGGCAATAGTAATGCAATATTTGCATTATACTCAAGATACTTTTAAAAACAAGTACTTCAGTTCTTTTACTTAAGTAGACATCTGACTGTAGGACTTTTATTTGTACTTGAGTAAAATTTAGCAAGGGCTATCTGCACTTTTACTCAAGTAATGAAGCTGTGTCCGCCTCTGAATGTGAGCAGGCATTTACTCATCTAACTTCAACAAAAAACAGATTCAAATTCCTCAAATGAATAAAAACGGTGAAATGCAAACTCAGAATATTACACAAACCTGCAATAATTAAATGTTAAATAATACAAATACACTTATGTATTTAGTCTCACTCTAGTCTCATACCTTTGACAATCCAATTCAACTACTAAGTAAAGATGATTTTAGATAAACATCACATTGTCACATTTGCTGTGTATATAATCCACAAGACGAAAGGAATTAAAGCAAAAGGAGTTTTAATGAACAGTAACATACTAGCATAACACTCTCAACATCAATGCAAGACCAAGGACCGAAGAAACTGAGGTCTTAAATACACAGGAATGGCAATCAACAGAACAACGAACAGGTGGGGACTAATAAAAAGGACTAAGGAACCATAACAAAGAAGTGGTGGGAAAACTAAGTCAAACCTAAACACAGGGACAAGAACTAAACCAAAACAGAATCTACACGTGACACACATCTGTGTTTTAATTTAAAGAGTGTTGAACTTTGTTCTCGTGCATCTTATTCTTCTGTGATTCAGAATGGCGGCGCGGCTGAAAGGTTTGTTTGAGCGGCGCCCTCTACTGTACAGGCGAGGATGTGCATTTACTTCAGCCTGAGGCTTATTCATTTCAATTTTTGTGTGAAAGGGCCTTTACATTTACAAAAATATATAACTTGTTTTTAAAAAACTTACAAGCCCAGCCTAGATGAGAAAAAGTGACAGAAAAGTAATGTAACGTATTATTTTTCATCAAAAGTAATGCAATTAGTTACTTTTTTAGGGAGTAATGCAATATTGTAACACATTACTTTTTAAAGTAACTTTCCCCAACACTGGTATTAATACGTTTTCCTTTAATTCCTTCAATTAATTTTTTAATTTTATTTAAATTGTATGTTTAATTCATAAAATGTAATTAAAATTGTATGAATTAAATTAAATGATTGCATAATTCTTTCATGTATTATGCAATCGGCAATCCTGCTCCTGCCGATCGACTGTCCTGCACAGTTCATCAGTTCTTGGTTAGGGTTGGAGATGAACTGTGCAGGACAGTCGATTGGCAGGAGCAGGATGGGGCACCCGTGATTTAAAACATTTCTTATATGGAACCTTTAGCATAAACACAGTTTATGTCAGAACCACACCGTTTTGGACACTACTGACTTCCATTATATGGACTAAAACATATTTATCAAAATATCTTCTTTTATGTTCCACAGAAAAATTGAAATCATACAGGTTTGGAATGACATGAGGGTGAGTAAATAATGACATGGGCTAATGTTACATTTTAGGTGCACTATCCCTTTAAGGTCACTTTATCTTTAAGTTAAGCAACATTTTGCCAGTACTAACAGTACTAACCTCATTGAAGAATAATGTTTAGTTTCAGAAATGTTATGTGCTATTAAAAAAATATTACACATGATATTTTTGAGTCGTTTTTAAGGCTTGATTTCTTTAATGGAACCACCTGAATGAATACCCTACTACAATATTTAGTTTATGACACAATGAGTTTAATATTTTTACTGAAATATGCTTTTTTATTTGAAGTTGACTCTCAAATGTGGACTGAAATGACCTTTTTGTGTGTGACTTTGATTCACGTTGCACAACTTGTTACTGCAAAGCTATCGCTCATTAAACAAAGCAACATGCTTTATAATATGAGTACTGGCAGTTATCCACAACATAACCATGAGCTCTACTCTTCTGCACAATACTTCAAAATAACTGAAACTCTTTCAAATGTCAAACAAAACTCCTCATCATTAAACATTAACAGATGTTTCCCTTCACTCAAAAACACATAAAATAGCACTTCATTCCAATGTTTACTCTCTACAAAGCACTAACAATGGTGTCTCTAAATAAAACTGCATAATTGAACTAATTCTTTTCAAATAAATAGCCTTTTTTCCTTCATTTTATCAGCTTAATCGGTTCCTCAATTCAAGCCTCAAAACTGCTTAAGTTTCTTTTTTCTTTTCTTTTTTTTAAATAGGAAAATGTATCTCTTGGTTTTTATTAGTGCAATGTTCTCAATATTTTATATACAACACTGGACCACAATTTCCTTAATACAATATGCACATTATTTTTAATTATCACCTTCATTTTTTTTTTTATTAGAATTACAAGACCCATGATTCATTTTTTTACACTGCAGCGAAGAATGTCCATTGTCCACCAGTGAAAGCTAACGCGAGATTTAGACCACGCTTTGAGAAAGCATGATGAGTAAGTTGTTTTGACCCATTTTCAATGGATGAAGCAAGAGACAGGAATGCAGAGAGAGAAAGCACAGCCGTTTACCACTTTTCACTTGTCAACCGTTATTATATGTATTTAGTGGTTTAAATATTTTTATCAATTTCATGCTTTCCTGCTGAATATAGGTAATTCTTTCAACAACAACAAAAAGACCCCAAACTTTTGAACGTTAGTGGAATGAATCTAAACTGAACCAAGCTAAACCTGATTTATCACTCATCCCATCATGCATCATCGCAATAATACACATCTACCTGTTCATGGAAGAATTTCCCATGGCAGCGTTGAAACTGTTTCGCATTGGATGTGGGAGTGTGACAGTGGTGAAAGGATCTGAGTTGGTACGAGAAAGGTTTTAAAAGTTCAATGCCTGTTCCGTTAGATGGTTTTATTCAGCGTTAGATAAGTGCCAATGATGACTTGTTTATTAGGGGGAAAAACTTCATTTTAATTGCATAGAGACTTGTTGCATACCTCAGTCAACTTTTGCAGAGTCACTGTGAAATAAGCAAACACTTCAAATTGTTCATAAGTTAATAAGATCAAGATTCTCAGAACTTAGGAAGGAGGATGTGCCATTCCCACATAAAAAAAATCAGGAGCTGGGAAGAACGGCATTCTTGGGAAGTCATGATCAACTCATTCACCCAGTATGCATACTGGTTATCATTGTGTGGCCCAAAAATCCCCTTACCAGTGAAGCAGAGAATTCAGAAAAGCAAATTGAGACATACATAAACTATAAATAAAAAAAAATAAGAAGATATGTTTGAAGATTGCGAAATAGCTTGGCTGTCTAACTGCTCTCTCTGACCATTGAACTCTATGATAGCAATCTTATGTTTACTTTATCGGGATACTTAATCCACACACAGAGCTCTCTCTGCTTTCAGTGTGTGTTGAAGTGATTCAGTCCAGAATGGTTGTGCAAGTTTTTTCAATCTGCCTGGCAGCAACACCACATTCTTTTTGGGTTAAATAAATCATGGCCAGTGTCTCCGAGAACTACAGTGGCTTAGGGGAAATCGAAACCTAACTAGTTTGTGTTTAGTAGAACATGCTGACTGCAATTGCTTTCTTCTGTTGCTCTTTTTTCTGCATTTAGTGCATAGTCATTTTATGCTAAATGATCATATTATTTGTATTATTATTATTTTTCATTCATTAATATAGTCTACAGTTCATTTAACTGCACATTTACATTTGTGATAGCATAATGCTTCAAGAGCTGGTCATGTTGTCACAATGGAAATCTGCTATTAAATGGCAAAAATTTCAAATCTTTTAAAATTACATATCTTTTAAAATGTAAATTATTCCAGTAATGCAAAGCTGAATTTTCAGCATCATTACTCCAGTCTTCAGTGTCACATGATCCTTAAGAAATCATTCCAATATGATGATTTGATGCGCAAGAAACATTTCTGATTATTTTCAATGCTGAAACCAGTTGTGCTGCTTAATATTTTTGTGAATATATCATTTAAAAAAATCAGGATTCTTGGATATCAGAGATATTGAAAATATTGACTTTAATGCATCAATTTTATGCAATAAAAATATTAATTTCTTCAAATCTTACTAATAACAAAGTTTACACATAAACTTTGAACGGTAGTGTATATATACAGCATCGCGATATTTAAATGTAAAATACTGAAGATAATTCATGAAACATCAAAAATGGAAAAGGTAACACAAAAAATGTTCAACCATTTGCCTAACAGAATGGTATTTAATTGACAACCTGATATTAATGAAACCTATATTATCAGCCTGTTCTCACATAAATGCGTCTCTATAGCACGCATTGTGTATTATCGTCCAATTTATACGCGAAAATGAGTTTTTACGTGCATATGATCCGCAGTTCATTTGCGTGTAATACACACACCCCACACCACTAATTCTACCCAAACGTATAACACGCACACCACACCGCTACTAAAGCTACCCTAACCAACCCATGTGTATCCCATGCACGTAAAAACTCATTTTCGCATATAAATTACACGATAAACACAATGCGTGCTATAGAGACGCATTTAGTGTGATCGGGTTGATATTATAGTTGTTGGGATGGATCCCTGGTGACAACTAGCCCCAATTTCTGCTCAAAAATCACAAGATTTAATATAAAACTTTAGGGATGTCCCTGAAGCCAAATACTATGTTCGGAAAAGATATGACACATTCTATGGAGCCCCTAAAGGGACATAGTGATAGAAAAATATATATTTCAATGCTTTTGCATTTTCTCGCAATTATATAGTTACATAATTATATTGCGGGCATCATGAAGCCGCTATCAATATGCGGGGTATTGAAATCACTTTTGAATGCCTGTTTTTTACTTTCACTTTCTAATTCGCGATCTCGTGTACTTGTAAATATTTGTCAATTATGCTCAGGATCTGTTGTGCACCAACTCCTCCAACATCGTCCTGTCAGTCATCTCTCTGAGAACTGATTAACTGAAATCTGATGTAATGTAATGTAACCGACTACCGCAGCAAGCCTGACCATGTCCCTTTAGGGGCTCCGTAGAATGCATTATTAATTTTCCGTGCCTTTCCAAAACCGGATTTAAGCTTCGAGCACATCCCTATTAAAATTAAAATAATTCATTGCAACCGTTATGATTATTGCAGCACATTCATGAGGCTGTGACTACTAGTCCTCCTCATATCATGATTGCACACGTCTTCCGGTCTGGTCTGAGCGAGTGTCGCCCCGCCGTGTTGCGCTTGTGCGAACAGCCAGTCCAGAGGCTCCTGATTTGAACTGTCCGGGCCCTTTGAGTCTGTCAAGGTTAGTGATTCGTTGTCAGGTCCATTGAGAGCCCAGGGCTTGCATGCCAGTGACATGCTGGGGTATTTGGCCATGCGTAGGGGTGGCAGACGGGAGCCCTGGAGGGGCCCGCTGAGAGGGTAGGTCGGTTGGGACAGCTCTCGTATGGAGTCCATGTACTCATCCAGACTCTGCTGAAGCTCGCTTTCCTGGAGCTCTGCGATCGTAGGGAGAAGATCCACAGAGGTCAGCCGCCTCCTGGGCTTCATGCTGGAACTGAGAGAGCGTGTCAAAGAAACACTGGATTATTCAAGCCTGGTTTATTACAATTTCATTACTATAAAAATTAAACCATGAGAAGAACATGTTAATAACATTCCTCTAACATTAGTATTTCGTTTCCTGAGCTTGATCAGCTGTGAATGGAAGAGTATCCGTATCACCAGGAGGTTTATTTGAAATATTTTCCAGGCTGTTATGATTTCCAGGCCTGTTATCATTGTGTTTAGCTGTTTTTGTATAAGTTTGATTTTGCCACATTATCCGCGTTTCCATCCCCCCCCTCCTCCTCCTCCTCCTCCTATACTTTACAGTTCCCGCTGAATTTCATCCTCTGAATTTAAGCTTAATAAAGCCTGAACCTCGTCGTCGGTCCACCAGTCGTATTTTTTAAACTCCATTGTTGGTTTGAATAGCAAACAACTGTTACTGCACGCACCGCAACAGACTTTTAAAAATGGTGGTTGAAATTAAATGCTGCAGAGTCAACCAATCAAAATGCGGCATTAAAGCAGCACTAAGTAGGAATTCCGTTTTTGTCAAACAGCGACCCCTAGAGTCGCTGTGGAGTACTTGTACTGTCGTGAATAGCACTCACGCAGAGATGGCTCGCACTCACGGCCGGATCCCCTCGCACTCACGGCGGCCCGCCGGCCCAAAGTTGCAAGGGTGGTTTTGCGGCTCACAGGCACCAGGGGGGTGCGAGACGACCACCATTCAACACGAAATCAGTATTATAAACATTACAATGACTCCAAAGCTGTTCGGTTAAGGTAAAAAAGTTACTTAGTTCACCTTTAACTCAACCAATCAGCATGTCCAGTGCCCAAGTCCCACCCCTGAAAATTCTTGAACTTTGAAAAAGTACCAGCTCACGAGCAGGGACTTTCTGAGGGGGAAATATTTACCCGGAACTTCATTTAGACCCTGGCTCCTGCGGTGGAAACACAGAGTACCACCCCAAAGTCCCTAGTTCCTGGGGGAAGTTCCTGCGGTGGAAACGCGGCTATTTTCTCTTTAATCAACTGCTAACATTAGGGGAGACCAGGAGCGGCTGTAACAGACTGAATTCATTTAGTCCCAAACCAGCCCGAGTGATTTTAACATTTAATCAGCACATGCTCACTAAAGTAAAGTCTTTATGCAAGAAGACAAAGCATGATTTTTATGGACATTTTGGAGGTCCACTATTTTTTTCCCCCTGCTATTTAAAGTTAAAATTCCTTTGAATTTAAAATAATAAGGATTTTATCTCTAGGTTAACTGTTATGAATGACAGATTTGTTATGGAATAAAAATTGTATGGCATCTGAATCTTTAAAATTGGTAATGAAATATTTCATATTGTCTAGGTTAAGACAATATGAAAGTTTAAGTTGATCATCTATATACTGTTAATTGTATTATGTGTGTGTGTGTCTGTGTGTACTGTTAATTGTATTGCGTGTGTGTCAACGCACACCTGTGTGTTTAGATATGTACACATTTTTAACACGATACATATATTATAGTTTTGCTTATATACATGTTTTTAAATACAAGTAAATATTTTTTATATTTATAAAATAATTACTATTTGTTTAAATCGATATGTATTCTGTGTCTGGGTCTTCTCTATTGTCAAAATAATAACACTGTAAAAAATATTATATGATCAATAAGGTATGACAACACATGTTTTTACATTGCTTTAACTCATCAAAATAAGATTCAACTCATTGTTTTCAGTCAATTTAATGTCATTTAAGTTGCAATGACTTAAACGTTAAAGTTGATTGTACTTAAAAAAAATTAAGGCAGGAACTTTTTTTTACAGTGAAATAAAATATCTATAATCGTATACTATATACAGTACTAGTCAAAAGTTTGGAAACATTTCCATTTTTATTGTTTTCAAAAGTCTCTTACGCTCCTTAAGCCTGCATTTATTTGTTCAAAAATACAGAAAATATTGTGAAATACTATTACAATTTAAAATAATAAAATATTTTAATATACTTTAAAATTCAATATTTTTTTTGTGATGCAAAGCTGAATTTTCAGCATCATTACTCCAGTCTTCAGTGTCACATGATCCATCAGATATTATTCCAATATGCATTCTAATATGTAGTATATTAAAATACATGTATATTCTTACACTACAACAATAAAAAATATATACTAGAGGTTAAGTTGTCTGGTGGAGAATAATTCCTTGTAAAGGCTCACCTGTATGTATATCTTGAGTGTGTTTGTCCAGATCTCTGCCCAGAAGAGCAGCTTCACGAGCAGGTCAGTGTGTCTTGTGTTCTGCTGAGGATTTTACACACAGCCTAGTTAGTGACTTTAAATCCTCTAGCATCCAGAGCGAATGTACTAAAAATAAGCAAAGGAAACCCATGGCTTTAGTGGGTGTGTGTGTGTGTGTGTGTTGTTTTGGATGTATTTTTAACAACAATTCTTACCTGCATGTTATATAACCCTCTGATTCGTATTTTACATTATATAGCACTTTTATAATTCGTTTTTGTATGATATCCGCTTCTCTGATTTTGCATTTCACTCCACTTTATAAAGTACAAGAAGTGTTGTGCAGTATTTGTTGAGTCTTTAATCTTTAGTTTTGAATGCATGTTTTGAGTCTTTTTCTTCATTGACATTTGACTGAACTACTCTGGACTCCTAGTTAGTCTAGTTCTAGTTTTAACAAAAAAAGATGGAATATTTTCATTGTTGTTATCATGATTCACTGAAGATGATTGCGAAACTCACTCCTGAATTTGTGCCATCTCTATTTCATCATCTAGACATATTCCCACAGAGCAAACAACAGATCCTTGGTTCGGATGATTAAAAGACACATGACTGTCAACTATTAGAGTCCCTGCTATTCCTTCAGGGTTTTAATAATACATGTTATAACATGTAGTTCAGGTTACTGTGTGAATTAAAAGACTTAGTTCTCACACCTACGACTCAGAGAAAACATTTTAGTAATGAGCATTTGATAATTGCATGTGACATTTGCAATTACAATATGAGAGACACAATCAACATGAAAGGGTCTGCATTTCCATGTAATAATCGCCTTGTATTGCCCAATATGTGGAAAATAACTAACTTAAAAAACTTAAAAGACTGATTTTTATGTGAATGACTAGGGATGTTTTTGCCGGGAAAATCAAAAGGAAGTGACGGTTACGCACGCTCCCGAGAGTCTCTCTTCCATTCCATGACCTTGTTTGATGTCCATGACACATGAAACAAATACTTATAGCCTACAATATTCAGGCCGAAAAATTTTATATTATGTACTGCAATGTCAATGTGTCATGAAAAGAAAATACACTCACCTAAAGGATTATTAGGAACACCTGTTCAATTTCTCATTAATGCAATTATCTAATCAACCAATCACATGGCAGTTGCTTCAATGCATTTAGGGGTGTGGTCCTGGTCAAGACATCTCCTGAACTCCAAACTGAATGTCAGAATAGGAAAGAAAGGTGATTTAAGCAATTTTGAGCGTGGCATGGTTGTTGGTCCCAGACGGGCCGGTCTGAGTATTTCACAATCTGCTCAGTTACTGGGATTTTCACCCACAACCATTTCTAGGGTTTACAAAGAATGGTGTGAAAAGGGAAAAACATCCAGTGTGCGGCAGTCCTGTGGGCGAAAATGCCTTGTTGATGCTAGAGGTCAGAGGAGAATGAGCCGACTGATTCAAGCTGATAGAAGAGCAACTTTGACTGAAATAACCACTCGTTACAACCGACTCGAGGTATGCAGCAAAGCATTTGTGAAGCCACAACACACACAACCTTGAGGCGGATGGGCTACAACAGCAGAAGACCCCACCGGGTACCACTCATCTCCACTACAAATAGGGAAAAGAGGCTACAATTTGCAAGAGCTCACCAAAATTGAACAGTTGAAGACTGGAAAAATGTTGCCTGGTCTGATGAGTCTCGATTTCTGATGAGACATTCAGATGGTAGAGTCAGAATTTGGTGTAAACAGAATGAGAACATGGATCCATCATACCTTGTAACCACTGTGCAGGCTGGTGGTGGCGGTGTAATGGTGTGGGGGATGTTTTCTTGGCACACTTTAGGCCCCTTAGTGCCAATTGGGCATCGTTTAAATGCCACAGCCCACCTGAGCATTGTTTCTGACCATGTCCATCCATTTATGGCCACCATGTACCCATCCTCTGATGGCTACTTCCAGCAGGATAATGCACCATGTCACAAAGCTTGAATCATTTCAAATTGGTTTCTTGAACATGACAATGAGTTCACTGTACTAAAATGGCCCCCACAGTCACCAGATCTCAACCCAATAGAGCATCTTTGGGATGTGGTGGAACGGGAGCTTCGTGCCCTGGATGTGCATCCCACAAATCTCCATCAACTGCAAGATGCTATCCTATCAATATGGGCCAACATTTCTAAAGAATGCTTTCAGCACCTTGTTGAATCAATGCCACATAGAATTAAGGCAGTTCTGAAGGCGAAAGGGGGTCAAACACAGTATTAGTATGGTGTTAATACATCCTTAAGGTGAGTGTATATTCATTCAAACTATAGTCATATAGCCAAGACTAGCCTATATAGCCAAGTCTCAAATCTACTTATAATCAAACAAACTATCGTAACAGTTTGATTTTAATTACCTCATCTGTCGACATGATGTGCAAACATCCAAATCGCCACGATCAGATGCTTTCTTTGTCGTTTTCGCACCGCATGCAGTCATTTTTGTTGTAGGCTATGACTATTTTTATTTAGAGCGTGCAGCACATATTTACACATTCATCTCAACGTCAGCACCGTGGACGGCGCCGATATGTTTGTTAACAGCAGATTAAAATGTATTTCAAACTTTTTTTTACTTTTAAGCAAAAAACGAAAAATAACTTGTGAAAAATAATAAAGCGACTTGTGATTATAACGGAGAATTGAATCACTTTCAATATCTTGTAAGTTACATGTCCACACGAGCGAGCACGTGCAATAAATTGCTGGCTGCTGTTCACTTAACGGCCACTGGTGTCGCTAATAACAAGGGTTTCTGAATTCTATTGTCACTGCCTATCGTCTTCAGGAAAATGTGAATGAAATTAAGGCTACTCAAAACTCATGATCATTTTTATCCAGTGTGTTATTTATTGATATTATACATTTACATTTAGTTTTACATTGATCTCAATCTCTAAATCTGAGATTACTATAGTTGTCATTTGATTAAAAAAATATCATTTTTTGTTTTTAAAAACAGTTCAGCTCTTGAAAACACATCTATACTGTTAATTAATTGTACTAAATTAACACTTTTAACCAGAGAGTGTTAATTTAATATACTTGCATTCATTTTGATTTTTTTTCTGTTATATTTATTTATTATTGTAATAATTATAACTGAGTATTGTAGTTTATTTGCCAGCTTTTTAAATGCATTCTGTTGAACTGGAAGTTCTGCCCTTATCTCTGAGTCAGAAATGAGTTCTTGATTAGACCATTCATGAAGAAAACACTCAAAGTAGGCTACTTCAGGGATGATATGGAGAAATATTCTGTAACAGGAAAGGAAGCAGCCCGATGATTAATGCATGACACCCGGTACTGACATCTCTAAAGACATGACGTCACTCGACATGCTTAGACCATATTAAGACCTTTCACTGTGACTGTGTCTTGGTTCTGGTAAAGGATTACGAGACATGGGAGGAATTCGAATTCCTGAAATTCTGTGGAAATGCACTGACCTCAAGTCTCTAATACTGCTCCATAAAGGTAGATTATGAAGATGCCAGAGGGTGCACAGACATTTCCGGACTGAACACTTCTGGTGATTTACAGCTGACCGTAGTGCTCATATTGCTTCTCTTTATTATAATTAAGCTCTAAGGAAGTGTTAAAAATGTTTCATGGAAAGCATAGGCTTGCTCAACACACACTCACAAGGAAAAGTTAACTCGGGCTTTACTTGTCACAGTTATATATGCTCAGATTTGGTTTCATTTTCTATCAGTCTGTTTAGTCACCTGTTTTTCTTTTCCTTAGTTCTCCTTCTCCCGCCGCTAATCAGTTTCCATAGATATTCATTTGTTCATCTCAGCTGTTCATAGTTAATCATTAAGTTCCTCTCCTTCCCCTTGTTGGTGTTTGTGCATGGCACACTGTTTAGAGTTGTTGGCTTATGTTTAATAAAGACTGTTGTTATTTATACCTTGTTCTTCATCATTGGACTTAAACCGTTACAATACTACTGTTCTGAATCACTAAAACGTCACTCTCAGGCCGATATTCACCTATTAAATCCAGAGAATTCAAGGCTAAGTGTTTAGGGTTGAAATTAAACATCTTGGTTTTATTTTTAAGACTGACGCCTATAACCATAACATGATATAACATAACCAATTTTCCAAACCGGATCGCTGGGATGGAACCAATATTATTTAATTTTATTTAAAAGAATTGTAAGAACAAAAGTGGCAGAAGCCTGATATTTCCAAAAGAAGTTAATGAGTAAACCAACTTTTTAGATACAATACCGATAAAATGAAGATACAACAGTTGCGTTTCTCTGAACTCATACTGCCGTTCCTATATCAGTGGAGTTTTTGAAAGTGTTTGAGTTAATGATTGAATGACTCACTAGCTTGTTTCATTCTTTAATGAATGCATGTTTTTGATTGAATCTGTTGGAATGATCATGTCGCACTCTCGACGAACCAGCATTTGAGAGCGAATCAGTTCCTGAATGAGTGTTTTTGAACTAATTGCTTGAATGAATAATTTAGGCCTATAGACAGTCACTTGCTGCAACTTACTGGCTTAAAGTCCGCACGAAACAGGAGTTGTGATAGTGTTTTTTTTCCCCTATAGTGACGCATATCCAAATAAAATGGCTTTTCAAGCAAGAAAAAATGTGATACGGGACTTGATTTTGTCCATTGGAAATTGATTGGGTGGTTGTAGTTTGCTATTGGTGTGATGTCATGTGAGTGACATGTTGATCCCGCCCTCGTGCCAGTAAACGCATCATCAGAGAAGAGAAGAGATGTCGTCGCAAGAAGGGGAGCTGTTTTGATTAAAGATTTCGAGGGCACGTGAATTAAAAATGATAATTTATAATAAATACTGCAATATTTCGTAAAAAGATAGCAAGAATGGTTAATGCTGTAATTGATGTCATGGTGACTTTAACTATATGTAAACGGACAAGCAGAATGTTACAAAGAGTGAAAAGTCCCAGTGATACATCAGCACTCTCAGAAAGCTTCTCATCAGATTTGAGGACCGGAAGTAATCTTTCTATGAAATATGA